AATTCGTGTCTATTCATATTCAAATGGATAATTGGTGTAGTGACTAAGATTGAATTAGCAGTTTTGAATTCGAAATTTTTTTTCCTGCACTTTGCAAATCTATTTATTCCCTATTGGAAATTTTTTTTTTTGTAATAAAAAGGCTATTCATTGTTGAATTTCTACGTTTAGTACTAAATTTAATTTTAACCCAGGATTGAACTTGAGCTCAAGTTCAAACTCGAGATTTACGCTAGGAGCTCTTCTCTTTTTTATTTTTCTTTTTAGAGCTCTCCATGGAGTCCGAGCAAGGTTAAAAGTCAAGTTCAGCTCAATTGTGTTAAGAGTAAATCTTTCCTACACTGACGGTGCATACATTATCAGCATTAGATTCATGACACTACGTAAATGCATTTAAATTTTTTTTTGGGGATTGTATTCAACTCAAATCCACATCCGTTTACAAAAAACGGTTCACGAAAGGAGGCTAATTTTCTCCCAGAGCGGTCCCATTTGGAATGCGGCTTTTCCCCCAAAAATCTCTCGTAACATATTTTTTAACCACATTTTATATGAAAAAGTTTTTAAAAAAATACCTTTTTATGTAAAAAAATTTATAAATATTTTATTGACATATTTTTAACTATTATTTTATCTCATATATATTTAAAAAAGCTTTTAAAATATTATCTTAACATATTTTTAAATTAATTTTTTTCTCCACGAACATCATCATGTCGTTATCGTAAGTCAATTTGAGTCTCAAAAGCTCCGATCAAACACTACTGGCTCATTATTTTGGAAATCACTACTCACTTCTCGCCTCTTGCCTCAGCCTCAATTCGGACAAATGGAGAGTATCAAGGGTTCAGCGTTCTTTTTCAGTGGTTGATAATCCGAAAACAACACATGAATAAGCTTCACTACAAATTTTATATTTATATAAAAGTATCCAATGAAATCACGAAATATGAATACTCCATAATAAAATACCGTAGAAGTAAAAATTTTGTACACCCTTTTTTGACCCCATACCCGGATTCCGGTCCCCATTCAGCAGTGTCAAAGACACGGACATAGGGACCACTCCCTCCAATAACCATACCCACTGCTGCATCCTTACCCGCCCAACTCTTATCTTCGGATAATGTAATTACTATATATACACCCGCCTTTCATTGCCATCTCCGCCCCCAAATCACCCAGCAAAAAACCAGCAGCAAATCTCCTCGTTTTGCAGACCAAACCCTCCCCTTCCTGCCTTGCTTCTACAGCTAGCCAACCGAGCGGGATATAGTTTAATCGATTGAATCTCTGCAATCGCTATCAACCACCCCCGGAGGCTGGAAACAAAGGTGTGTTAATGCGATTTGGCAATTGCAGGTTTGATAGGTGCAGGGGTAAGACCCAGGATTAAACGAGTTGCAGACATCACGGCTATACACAGAGCTTTCCGCCCTCTCATACATGTCCGAACTGTACGACGCAAGGGTTGTCTAAGCGAGAGCAACAACCCTTCGCCGCACGGCGGACGAGGCGCCTTGCCCTCTGAAGGCGGCAGCCCTTCCGACCTCCTCTTCCTCGCCGGCGGCGGTCATTAACTTTTTTATTAGGTCTAATTTATATAGCAGTATTTTAAAGTTAAAATTGATTTTTCGCACTACTAAAATTATACTTTCACCGCTCAAGTGTTTAAGTACGCCGAATTCTGTTACCAACCAAGAATCTCTGCTTTTGATTGGTTTCGTTGACTTTTTAATTGCTGCCCTCTGGGAAATTTGAAAACTTGTATGAAAAATGCTGAGAATTAAGAGGGTTCCTACTGTCGTTTCCAACTACCAAAAGGAAGAGGCGGAGGAAGGTGCTGCTCGCCAAGGAGGGGGGTGCGGCCGAAATTGCCTCATGAACTGTTGCCTTCCAGGTACTTGATCAATTGTTGCACCGTGATTATTAAATTTCTTGTTTTATATGTCGTGTTTCTGGGGCTGAAGTGTAGTATTTGGTTCTGTCTGTTGATTGGACACTAGGCGCAAAGCTGCCTTTGTATCGTTTTAAGAGGTTGAACGAAGTTGCTAATGAGAAGGTTGGCCTTAGCCGTGAGAACAAAGAACCTCCGGTTCCTTTCCTGGAATCTCTCCTGCTCGGGGAGGTATATGTCGTAAGAATGCTAGGGTATTAAATTAAACTCTTATTTTTACATATGCGTGCTGAGAGTAGCAATTTGACTGTAGTGGGAGGGTCGGATGCAAAGAGGCCTCTTTCGCTATGATGTTACTGCCTGTGAAACCAAGGTTTTTGCTTTCTCCCTTTTTACTATCTATTATCTGTTTGGTTTTGAGGCTCTAGGATGTCTTGCTCGAGAATCCTATATGACATTGATGTAAACAACGAATGTTGGAATAGGTGATTCCTGGTGAATATGGCTTTATTGCTCAGCTGAATGAGGGCAGGCACCTTAAGAAGAGGCCCACTGAGTTTCGAGTTGATAAGGTTTTGCAGCCCTTTGATGAGACCAAATTCAACTTTACTAAAGTTGGGCAGGAAGAGATCCTCTTTCAGTTTGAGCCGGGCGATGAAGTCCAGTTCTTGCCAAGTGCACTCATTGATACTGAGAACTCACCAAGTGTTGTTGCCATAAACGTTTGTTACTTTACCTTTCATGGTCATTGTAATTGATTTTTGTTAGAATTTCATCTATTTTTAGCTGAATTCGTCCTGGTTAATTTACAGGTCAGTCCTATTGAGTATGGACATGTGCTGTTAATCCCTCAAATTCTCAATTGCTTGCCTCAGAGCATTGACCATGATAGCTTGTTGCTTGCTCTGTACATGGCTGCAGAGGCTCGAAGCCCATACTTCCGATTGGGTTACAACAGCTTGGGTGCATTTGCCACCATCAACCATCTTCATTTCCAGGTTCCAATCTGCCATCTACATGGTGTACCGTTAAGCTCTGCTAATTTGATTTCATAGTTGGAAAGTTCTCTATAACGAATTCTGGACTAAGTAATTTGTTTTTCTAATTAAAGGCCTACTACCTGGCTGTGCCATTTCCCATTGAGAAGGCTCCCTCTAAGAAGATCACCACCACAAAAGGTGGGGTGCAAATCTCAGAACTTCTGAAATATCCAGTCAGGGGTCTTGTGTTTGAGGGTGGAAATACTCTCAAGGATTTGTCCAATGTTGTCGCTGACTCGTGCATCTGCCTTCAAGAAACTAATATCCCTTACAATGTTCTTATCTCGGATTCTGGAAAAAGAATTTTCCTGTTCCCACAGGTAAGCATTTCCGGTTATGTATTTTCTCATGGTGACCTTGCACGTTGTGAGTGTTACTTGTACTCCTGCTTACTGGTTTATTTTGTTTGGCTGTGTAACGTCTGACCTCTTTCTTGTTGGATGGAATTGATAGTGCTATGCAGAGAAACAAGCTCTTGGAGAAGTAAGCGCTGAGCTACTCGACACACAAGTTAACCCAGCAGTTTGGGAGATTAGTGGGCATATGGTGCTGAAACAGAAGAAAGATTATGAGGAGGCATCTGAGGAAAATGCTTGGAGGCTCTTAGCTGAGGTATCCCTTTCTGAAGAGAGGTTCCAAGAAGTGAAGGCTCTGATCTTTGAAGCCATTTCTTCTAGCATTGAGGAAATCGACAGTGTGAATCCAAGCGTCCTTGAGAAGCCAGATGTCACACATCAGGCTCTTGAGGATGTTGATACCCTCAACAAAGGGTCTCAGCGAACAATGGTGTCTGTGTAAGCATGCTTGGTTCCCGCTGAGCATTGGCCGATACATTTTAGATTGGATATGGTGTCTGTTGTCATACTAATGAAGGTCATTACAGGAATTGGCCTTTCCTTGGTTGACATGCCTTGAATAATGCAACTAGGTTTGTGGGATTGGATAATGTATGTTTACTGCATATTATTGGCTTTGCAAACCTGAGTTCTATGGTGCGAGTCATGTAAACATTTTAGATTCGATATGGTGTCTATTGTCGTACTAATGAAGGTCAGAGTAAGTACAGGATTGGCCTTTCCTCGTGTGACGTGCCTTGAATAATGCAACTTGGTTTGCTGGATTGTTAGGGTTGTTGCTTGTATGTTTACTGTGTATTATTGGCTTTGCAAACCTGAGATCTGTAATGGGAGTCATGTAGAATATTTTGATGTTTGTAATGGATGGTTGTTCCTAAAATCTCTTGTAATCTCATGAGAGGCAAAATTTACTTGTGTTTGGTTGGTTGGCAGAGCTGATATGCTTCTGATTCAACAAAGCAGGATTCCACCTTCTGCAAAAAATGCAGGTTTTTGAACTCAAATCAGATAGGATTCATGTATCATGCGAAACTTTGATCAGGGCATTCTGATTTTCATTCCAAACGGCAGTTCTCATGCTACGGAGGGAGTTCAAGTGTATACTGTAGTATACTAACTGGAAGGCATGCTGCTTAGTAGCCTCTGTATTGGGAAAACTTGCCAATAGTTTGCCAAGGCTTAAGGGGTCAGAATCAGAGAAAAAGGCCGAAAGTTTGATCCATCTCTTTTCAGGTGACAGCATGGGGAGACGAGTAGCTATGTAGCACCGAACCATGACAAACTTCCAATTAATTGCGGATAATCTGGACAATTAACTAAAGTAATTTTGCATCGGCTGATGATGAGATGCAGTAGTTCAACAAATGAACTAATAGGCTTTCACCTAATTTAAGATGGAAATCGATTGAAGATACCGGAAGGTATCTAAGCTGTTTGTCTGTAAGATGGCAAACGATGAACTAAAGTTTGAGAGGGGAAAGTAAATTGTTGTGTTTGTTGAAGGATGTTGTCTTGATGTGGTACTTGGCAAAATAAGGCGGAAAACGCTTCGCAACACATATTCTATTAACAAAAACAAACTTAGTACCAAATACCAATTGATTGAAAAGGTTAAACAAATGTGCAACATATGAGAGCTTAAACAAACTAACAAGAAGAGTTTAAGCATAATAGAAGAGTTTCGTCAGAGGAAACAAACTAACAAAAACTTGAAATTATTTTATGAAAAATTGTAGTAACATTTAATAAATGTGCTTTTTAGTTTTAACAAAATAGTTAGATCAAAGATAAATACAGTAGTATGTATGATGGATGGGCACGTTGGAGAAGGCGGCACGGCAGAAGGGCATTTACTTTTACGGGGAAGCAAAAAAGTTAGTGCTAGTCTGGTTCCTTCTAATTCTGCAGTCTCATAAACGAAAGCGAAGACGCACCTCCACAAAACTCTCGTCCAAGCCTTGTGTAGGCCATTGCGCTAGGAGCAATTTGGATTTCGAGGTAACGCCCACTGCCCTTCGTTCCAAATTTATCCCTCATTATAATCCGACATTCGCATCAATATATTCACCTGGACCTGGAGGTAAGGCCATGCCTGCTTATGGTCATTGTAACTGTCTCTACTTGTTTGATAAAATGCCCAAGAGAAGTACTCGAGTAAAGTTAGTTAAGAATGATCGTGTGAGGTCAAAAAGAGAAAGGGGATTGTGACGTAAATGATCATGTTGTAATTTGTTTCACTGTGAACTATGCTTCTCTTATTAGTCGTTGCCTGGGAATAATTTCTTTCTTTCTTTCTTTTCCTCTCCTAGCTGTAAGTCTGTGCCACGCTGGGTGTCTCTTCCGAAGAATTACTTGTTGCTCTGGTTGCTTGCTTGTTTAGTTAGGGAATATATGTTTTAGGAGAACTAGGAAAGGAAAAGATTTTTTTTTTTTTTTTGGCTCTGTGTTTGGATTAAGCAGCTTGAGAGTTTTTCATTTTTTTCTAGCACATCTCAAACGTATCCATTCATAATTTCGTGAGCCTAAGTTTATATCTTTCTGAATCCTGTTTTTGATCGTAAATTGCTGGTAATTTTGCCTAATTTGGATTGTATTAGGAGAAGATGAAAAAAGGAATTCATCCACAGCGTCAATGGATTTCCTACGTAACCCAGAGCGGGCGATTGATCAACGTTATGATGACAAAAATACACCAAGTTGGTAAAGTCTATCACATAAGGGGTAGACAGGAGAGGACCGAAGGCATTGGCCAGATTGCAAAATTTAAGCGTCGTTATGAACAACAGAAGGTAGAGGAAACAGAAGAGAAGTAAATCCTTTCACTTGCAGGAGCAATGATACATTTCTATGTTTTCCCTGAACCAAATATGGAATGCCTTGTTTTCATTTGTCATTACACTATCGTGCATGGTAGCACATATGCTTCATCATTTCTTTTCCATAATTGACAACTTTTAATGATTTCTTATGGACATTGATGGGTAATATTTCACAGAATGGATACCAAGGGCTTCAGTATCTGCTGGTTGTCCTTTCATCTTCTTTGCAATTGTTATTGTTTTCTTTTGGATCTTAACGGTGTTCTCTGCCAAGTTGAATTTAAGGATATATGACAAATGTACCTTTGATTATGCAAGGTGTTAGATTCTATTTCCCTTTCTTTTATTCTTGTCATTTCTTGCTGCAGCCTGCAAGTTTCTAGGCTTATGCTTCTTTAGGCAAACAACAACCACTTGTCTTAGCATTGAATCTTATTCTTTCTACTTGTTTAGTTTTGAGATCGCTCATTTTCTTCATTGTTCATTTATGATTAGTTTTGCAAACATAAGTTTATCATGTTAGAGGTCCTTAATCTTCACATGATAATCTGAAGGACGAAGTTTTTCCTCCAGACTATCTATTCCACCTAGCTGAGTGCTAGTACGATATATACTATAGAAACTGATAACCATTAGTTCAACCAGTTTGGGTACCTTGTTTTCCCCCCTTTTTGATGGTCTGTGTTGTTGTGCTAATGAAGCTCAGTTGCCCTTTCCTTGTGTGATATGGCTTAAATAACGCAACCAGGTCTTTGCTGGGTTTTTATGGCTGTCACTTGTCTGTTTACTGTGTATTATTGGCTTTGCAAAACATGAGCTCTGAATTGCGAGTCATTTAGAATGCTTTTGATGTTGTAATAGTTGTTCGTTTAGAGACTTCGTAAAATCTCTCATATTTTCCTTAAGAGGCAGAATTAATTTATTGGGCAGAGATGATCTGCGTCTGATTCGACAAAAGCCGGTTTGCCACCGTTTGCTAAATGGCCAGCTTTTGAACTCAAATGGGAAGGGGCGTATGCATTATGTTCAAATTTCGCTTGAGGTATTCTGATCTGTATGCAAAATGGTGATTCTTATGCTGCGAGAGGAATTAAATTCTCTACTAATCATGAGGGGCGTTCTGCTTAGTAATCTCTTGCCAATAGTTCAACAAGGCTCAAGGAGTCAGAATCAGAATGTAAGGTAAAAGCCGAAAGTGGGATCCTATTTCCCTTTGCGCCTAAGCATGTTGAGACAAGTATTAAACTTAGTACGAAAGCGCAACAAATTTTGGATTGATTGCTAGCTAAATTAATTTGCATGGCGTGATTAACTAGTAATCTTTCGCCAAAGTCAAGAAAGCTGGAAGGGGGAAAAGGGGGCGGGGGGAGAATACTGTGATTTAAGCTCTTCGTTTATTGTTGGAAGAAAGCACTGTTATATGAATATTTGATATGGAAACTGTGTTCGTTTAACAATCGTATTATTTTTTGGAAGATTTTTTTTTTTTTTTGGAAATAATGGTGTAGCATTTTTAAAATATGATATATGTGAGATAAATAAGACAATTGTAAAAATAAAAAAGGTAATTGAGAAACATATTATGTAACAACAATTTTTGTATAAAGAAATCTCAATCCAAACAGACCGCTTTTACCAAATTTTTTCCTTGCTAGGCAAGTGAAATGGAAACCAGTTACCCATACATACATGTTTAAGAAAAAGAAACTTTCACCAATGAAATAAAAAAAAAAAAAAACTTAAAATGTTTGATGTGAAAGAGGGGTAATGTATAATTACTGCCTTGAGAACTTCTGTCTGAAACTACCATTAAAAAGGGACTAAATCCCTCTTTGAACTTTACGTTGGGGGTTTGAATTCCATCTGCAGTGGAAAAAATCCAAAGGAGGTGTCAATGCATTCCTTGCTCTAGTCAGATCTGTGTATAACTCTATCTAAAATATCTTCCAAGTTTCGATTTCACTATCCAATACGAACGACGTCGTTGGAATAAAATAGTGTTTGGATTTATATGTTTTGAAATAAAATAATTTATTTTATAAATTCTAATAATTTTTTATTACATATACATCACGCTATAATAATTATCTCAAATAAATCATCCAAATAAACTCCTTTTCAAAAAAACAAGGCCCAATTGGTTTCACTATCCACATTCATGTACGTCGTTGCAGTCAAAATACTACCCTTCCCGACGTCTATCACCTTCAGGTAGAACTCCTTTTATACTGCAATCTCTTACAGGGCCTTGTGTCGATGGAGTAATAGAAGAAAATCTTCTAATTCTTTACTCCAAACGGTTTGGAAAATGCCAATCCAGAGTAGCTGAGGAGGAATCCCACTCTCTGAAACAAAAATTTGATCAATTAAACCCTTCTAAAAGAAGAAGTATGTATATATCAAAATTCTGGCTTGCTTTTCTCCACTAATTTTTTTTTGCTATGGTTGCGTTTTAATCTTTTTGAGGTTTGTATATATCCCTTAAAAGTACTCATGATTTGCCATCAAATTATGGACTCTACCGTTTGCAAGGTTCTTTGAAGCTTCAGATTTGCATTTTTTTTTTCCAGAAAGAATGATAGTAATTTTTTTTTTTTGTTCACCCCGCATGAAAGTAAAACTTGATATCTGAATAAAGGGGAAGCCGAAAGACGGTAGAATTTTGACAAAAACAAAAGGAAAAGACAGGATAGAAGAGGTAAGCCACGTCAACAAGTTCTAGATTAAGACGCCGTCGTTTTGCACGAGGCAGGAGACTTGGACAGATATGCCGTTGGACAGAGGATCCCGACCATTAATTACTTGCCGTTTTCTTTTTCCTTTAAATTTTATATGGTGTTTTTCAGTTCTTTGCCGGTTTAAATGCACCTAATGACCAGAAAGTTTGAGCATTAAAGATTTCTTTGGAGAAAATCAACGGAAAAAAAAAAAGCTTGAAATGTTGATGCTCACCTGAAAGTATGTAAATTCTAATATTTGAAAACGGCTTTTATAAGTATTTCCTTTTAACAAAATAGTAGTGAAAATCCATGATACGTATGGACGGTGAAATTTAGTCTGGGTTCCATAATTTCGCAGTCTCCATCGAACACCCTTGGAAGCCTTTTCTAAGCCATCCCGCAAGGCGCAAAATTCGGATTTTGAGGTACTCTCCACTACCCTTCTTTTCTCAAACTTTTTGCCTGATCGTAGCCTGCAACTTGAAGCGGCATTTGCATCAATGCTTTTGTATTCGGAGCAGGCCATGGATGTTTACGTTGATAGCCTCTACGTGCTTGATAAAATGCCTAAGACAAGTGCTCGAGTAGATTTAGTTGAGAATGAGCATTTAAGGTAAAAGACAAAAAGGGATTTCTACATCAATCATCATCTTGTAATTTGATTCAATGTGTACTATATTTCTCTGGAGTCATTGCCTGGGAATTCTGTGTTTGTTTTCCTCTCTCAGCTGTTAAGTCTGTCACACCCTGGGTGTTGCTGTTTCTTATTCCTAAATGATTTCAATAGTTTCTTTAATTTTATTGCTCATTTTCCTTCTCTAGTGAGAAAGTTTTCTAATAAGAACTTCTCATGTTTCTGCTTGGTAGATATTCCTACTGTAATGGCATCTTCTGCTGCATTTTCTACATATGCATTGCATGGAAGTAAGCTTGCTTCCAGGACAATGTGGGCCAATACTTTTAATGAGCATACTTACAGTTGTTCAATCCTGCAATTAAAGCAATCAATTTGTGGTAAGCCTAGTTCCTTGTCAGTCGAAATTCCTTTTGAGCTGCAACCAAATGGAAGGTTAGTCTCCAAGAATAGAGTCATATGCAGTGCATTCGAGGTTGAGAATACACCATCAGTCATGGTTGGGAATAAGTTTCAACTTGAGGATGTCATTGAGGCTCAGCAATTTGACAGAGAGACACTGAATGCAATATTTGAAGTGGCACGTGAGATGGAGTTGGTTGAGAAGAATACTCCTGGAAGTCAACTTCTTAAAGGGTATCTAATGGCCACACTTTTTTATGAGCCCTCAACTAGGACTAGGCTGTCATTTGAGTCTGCCATGAAGCGTTTGGGTGGGGAGGTTCTGACGACAGAAAATGCACGCGAGTTCTCATCAGCAGCAAAAGGCGAGACACTTGAAGGTAGTCATTTTCCAAACCCCTGACAAGTGGTTTTGTTGTTTCCATTGTAAGTTGGGCTTTTTATATGCAGATACTATAAGGACAGTTGAAGGTTACTCAGACATAATTGTGATGAGACACTTTGAAAGTGGTGCTGCCAGAAGAGCAGCAACAACAGCCAGCATTCCCATTATTAATGCTGGAGATGGTCCCGGACAGCATCCAACTCAGGTTTTCTGCTACGTATAATTTAATCCTGATTATTCTTTCGAGATTCTGCTCTGCTTTGCTGGTTATGGTTTGTCCATAATGTTACTCATCTCCATTTGTCACAAATATCTCAAAAGTTGTGAATTAGTAGCATGCATTTCTTCGATACGGAGTGTTATCTTGATTCTGGATGGGATGTGGTTTTGGAGGGATTAAAAGTACTTCCACTGCAATTCTCATCCAACTTCCAAATATTAATGATTATGTGGAATGTCTCAAGCATCTAAATAAGATTTTCCGTGTTTCCATTGATTTTTTCTGGGGCAACACATTCATGTTTAGGTTTCTTTGCAATAATGTTTGTCAATAATTTCTATCACATGTTGCAACACAGGCCCTTCTTGATGCATACACCATTGAAAGAGAGATTGGAAAGCTCGATGGAATTAAAGTCGGACTAGTTGGAGATCTTGCCTATGGAAGAACAGTTCGATCACTTGCTCATTTACTAGCCAAGTACCATGATGTGAAAATCTACTTTGTGTCACCTGATGTTGTAAGAATGAAGGTACGGTGTAGCATTTTTCAAAACTTGGTTTTTTCTTCTGCTTTTGCATCCTCAAAGCAATTCCAATAAACTTAATTTGTTGATTTAGAAAGCTGGGAGTCATGCTCCTCCTGCTTTCTGCTAATAATTTGGACGCTTAATTACATGTGAAACAGAGGATTGCCACTCAGCAATTTCTTTTCAACTGTATTTTCAGAATGACATAAAGGATTATCTGACATCTATGGGGATTGAATGGGAAGAAAGTGCAGATTTAATGGATGTTGCTTCTAAATGTGACGTCATTTATCAAACCCGAATCCAACGAGAAAGATTTGGAGAAAGGATTGATCTTTATGAAGAAGCTAGAGGCAAGTATATTGTTAACCAGGACGTCTTTAATGTATTGCAAAAACATGCAGTAGTGATGCATCCTCTCCCAAGGCTTGACGAGGTAAGCTTGCCACCCGTACTAACAGGATTTTAGGTGATACTTGGCATCCATAATTTTCCCTGATTACCAGCTGTTTTCCTTCACTCTCTAATATAGATAACGGTGGATGTGGACAAAGATCCAAGAGCTGCCTACTTCAGACAAGCGAAGAATGGTCTCTACATTAGAATGGCTCTTTTAAAGCTTTTACTTCTTGGTTGGTAGAAGATGGCCATGGGTTTTCTTTCCTACAGTAGCCAGTGGTGCTTGCTTCTATGTGGAGCAGCTAGGTTTCACTTTTAAGAGGCTTTTTGGCTAATTTTCCTTTGACGATTGATATGAGCACAAAATTCATACTTGCTGCCGAGTTGTACCTTACTTTGGCACACATTGATGGCTAACTTTAGCTGCATTTTCCGATTCTAATCAATGATGATGTGCCCGAGAAATGAAAAACCCTCAGTTCTGCATGATGAAATCGATATATTTGGCTACTATTTGCCAAATCCTTGCGATTTGCACTCTTTGCTCCAACTTTCCCCACGTTGCTTGCAGTTTATATCATTTTTCATGGCGTTGCTTAATCTGTAACAAAACATACGTCCATCCAGAATAGGAAGATTGAAAATTCTCTATTCAAGTAGTAGTAGTAGCAGTAGTAATAATACAAGATGGTCATCCATTTTCAACGGAGTTGAAAATAAGATAAAAGCAATTATTTCTTTCAGCACTGTGTATGAAAAGATCTGCAGTTTATCTCGCAAATATTACATACAAAAAGCCATTTCACCTAGTGTTTCAGAACAAGAACAAACCAAACATCCATGCAATCAAAGACTGGACCATATAGCACTTTAAATACTACATTAATTAAGAACAAAATCCTAGAATCAAACGTCTAGGCATAACACAAAAAGGGTTCTGACTGATCACTTGACTTCTTTTTCATGTATACAAAAGCCTTGGAAAACTGCAAAGACTTGATTATTTCTCCACGGGATCACTCTCATCACCCGTCTTGTGGATGTTTCCCCTACCAGGAGGCTTCTTGAAACTTTCTTTCACAGTTTCAAAACTGGTGTCACCAGCCATGGTTTCTTGAAACGCATCAGCTTCCTTTTCTACGGTCTGACTAGTTGTTCCCTGGCGAGCTTTTTCTTCCGCCACCCGTCTGAACTCTTCAGCCGTCGAAGCTGCTCTCTCCGCTGGACGGCCATCTCGGTGGTGGTCTGGTTTCTTTTTTGAACCATTTTCTTTCTGTCCCTGCTTGCTAAGTTGGCTATACATCTGGTCACCATCACCAGACAAACCAAGTCTTAGGTAAACTGCAAACACTAAAACACTTAACAAAGGAAAAAAAAGGCATGAACAGGAAGGAATTAGATGATTACTTGTACCCTGAAGGTAATGGGTTTGACAGGTAGATATCTGATTCGGCAAGTCTGTGACAAGTTATAGAATTGCAGAAGTTTGCCTCCCATACTGAATTCGAGCAGTGATGAAGAAAGAGAATTGTTGGTTTACACAAATCCTGATTACTCTTTTGTCTCGGTGATCCTAAAGCACCAGAAGAATTGAAAATAATGAGAAAGAAATTGAATTGGCTATGTACCTTTTCATCACTTGCTAAGGCCAGCAAGTCACTGGTGCAAAGCTTATAGCTTGGAGACAGTAGTCTGCCACGTGGCAGGCAGCAAAAATATTTAAGGATAATTGCAGAAACCTCCCCCCAGGTTTCTAATAGTTGCACTCATCTCTTCTAAGGTTTGTAAATAGCACTAACTCCCCTGAACTTAAGATTTTGATGGCAACTTTAGCCCATGTTAGAGAAAGTGTCATTAAAAAAAATCTTTTGAAAAGTGAGATAATAATTTTGTTTCATTTGTACTCGTTTTGCCTCTTGCAAGGTTGTATTAGTAAAAGAATGAAAAACATTAAAGATGAGAACAATTAGTGAAACTTAGAGGATATATGTGCAAAAAGAATAATGGCAGCAGTAAAAGCTACAAGAAGTAACAAACATGTGTTCAAAAATCTGATATTCTAAAGCATATAAAGAAACTATTGATCAATCAAGAAAATTCATCTTTGATCAGTACAAGAGAGTTTTTTATTGTCATGCTAATCCTTATAGTATGAGTAAATCTTTCCTACACTGACAATGTATACACTATCATTGTTGAATTCATGACATGTGTGCAAAAATTGAATTTAAAATTCAAATTTTACATAATTGTCATTCATCAAATGCTGATAGTGTATACACTGTTAGTGTAGAAAAGAATAATCCTTATAGTATATTGATTTTACACTATTTACTATATTTCGTACATAGCTATGCTCTCTCGTGATCAACACAACAATTTTATCATACTATAACTAACACCACAATTTTGTGTATTAAATTGAGATGATAAAAAATTACTTACCTATCATCTTCTGATTGTCACAAATTTTTAACAGAAAAATCCTCAGATTTTGCCTTGATTTCTACTTTCTTTCTTCTTTTGTTTCATGAATGCATGAGATGAAATAAATCCAACCAAAACCACCAAAACTTATTCTTCTATGAAGCCTTCTTTGGAGGTTTATTTCTCCTACATATTTCTTGCTTCTGCTTCTCTTCTATGTAGAAAATATATTATTTGAATTGTTCTCTCAAGTGTTGTCAATCATAAAATGACACTATGTTGGATCATCAATTGGTGCCATTTTGTAAGTGCACTTATAGTGCTTAATAAAGTAAATGTTAATTTTGTTTAATTAGCTATCTTAGACTTGTTTATTACTCTAATTTTTTTGCCCCAAATTTATTTACTAACAAATGTTAAATTCTTAGGATACAGAGGTAAATTTATCATATCTTATGTCAACTATATATGCCCCAAATTCATGTTAGAGGAGGTTAGTGTTATTTTTCAAACCTTAAGAGTGGTGAGTACAACTGTTGGAAATCTCACGAGAGGTTTCTGCAATTATCCCAAATAACAATCACAAACGCAGCCTCAATTACGTATACTGAGTAGTACGCAATGTGATAGCCTGGAAAGGTGCCGAAGGAAGGATAAGCATCAGGTGGCATGTCACTTGATCATGCATCATCTTTGTTTGGTGCTCACTGAACGAGAATGATTTACCTTACTACTTCGTAGCTTTTGATGGGTAAATTACGTAATGTATATATCCTAGCTATTATGTACATGTTTGAAAAATGTTATTTACATTTTATTTTTTATTATTTGTACTTTCACCATTTATTTTATCATATAATCTAATAAATAAAATTTATATGATTAATATGATAGCGGGTGTCTGATTAACAAAAAATGGAAGTATAAATAACTTTTTTTTATATTTTTTATTATATATCAACTATTTTAATCAACTGCTGGTTCCAATTATACTGACATATCTTGTGTTACGGATATTGGACATATATTAGTGAAGAAAATTATTATTCACAAATTAAAAATTTGAATTGAAGGGAGGGATTTAAGTTTAAATCTTGTATCTCACAATTAGAGATGAAAATTAAAAAGGTTGCGAAGAATGGTGGATGGTTACTTCAAGAAAAAAAAAAAAAAAAGGAATGGTGGATGGTAGGATAAAAAAAGAAAAAGTAAGTATTTGAGTTCTAGTCCGACCTATAACCTATCTCAGTCAGGTGGGACCAAGACCTTTCAGTAGTGAGCCCATTTTCTCTCAAGAGTCGAGTTTTCAAACTTTTCATTGTAGCCGGAATACAAACCTCACCCGTCTTCTGCTCCAACCGAAACTCCCAGGACTCGGAAACCACTTGGGTAACATCATTTGTACTTCTCTTCTTGCCCTTTTATTAATCCGGATGTTCAAGAGTAATTACATCATATATAGCAGCATTCGCAATGCACTAATAAATTTGTGCGCTTCTCTTACTTTGTAAACATGGGGTGTGAATAAAAATTGAGTCTTTGTGCTTAGCCGAATAAACTTGTTTGATTGGGGATTTTGGTGAAACGGATATTCTGGATTATAGAGTTTTTCTCTTTTTTTTGTTAAATTTTTTTATCAAGTTACTAGGTTTAGAAATTTGGGGAATTAAACTTTTTCCAGTCTCATTTGGATTTTATTTGGTTTACGTCAAGTTTAAAGTGATTGGCACTTGGATTTAGCTACAGCTGAAAAACATAATCATGCTATTCAATTGTCAATACTAGACTGGAGCTCTGTTCAATGAGAATATGTTCTAAATTGATTCGTCAAGTAATCAAATCTAACGCGAGCAAGATTTCTTGCTCCTTTTTAATTATTTAAGCTCAGGCTCAGCTTGACAAGGATAACACTTGAGAATTTGCATATAGAAGAACCAAGCAAAGCTTTTCTGCAAAATTATGCTCATGAAAAATTAATCCAAGCTTTAACATTGTGTCCAACTGATTAGGCTCATGAACACCCTAGAGTTACTAGCACATTAATTTGCTTGTCAGTTTCAAATGTCAAAGCAGTTTCTTTTTTGTTAACCACTTCGGTAACAAATTCTTTCTCGCTTTGCCTGTTTGGCTAGCAGATTATTGTTGAGTGCTAGGTTTAATAAGATAATTTATGTTATGACCTGCCAAGTTACAGCCACACTCAGTTACTGATCAATCTGGAAACTGGACAGCAGTGCTCAACCAGGAAGAAATGAGCGCTTTCAAGGCTTTTAAAGCTTGCGTGCCGATTGAATGGAGTGATAAGCTCTACATAACCCTTGTTAGGGGTATCCCTGGAACCAGGGAGCTCCATAGGCGGACATTAGAGGCGCTGCGCCTTCGCAAATGCAACCGCACAGTTGTGCGAAAAAATACTCCTACAGTTCGTGGAATGCTTCAGCAGGTTCTGAAATTAGCTTGATCCAACTGCATATTTGTCTTATGTGGTCATACTCTGGTTTGGCAACTGACAATTCTTCAATAAGATTGCAAATAGTCATTACTATTCTTTCTGTTATGTGTATTGGTTCATATCAGGTAAAACGATTGGTTGCAATTGAGACAAAGGAAATGCACGAGGCTCGGAAACGAAGAGAGGCTAATCACAGAGCTCTGCGACCACCGTTGGTTATTAGTCATCATCCAGCCCCAAAGACTGAATCCTTTCAGTTATCTTAGAGATTCTTCGAGGCATGCTTCTTTTATTTTTCTGCTTTAATCTCTCTACATACAAGTGAACACAGACACAGAAGCACACTTTTGAAGGTAGATAAAGCATTAATAACGTGTCTACAGGTAAAATGGTGATGTGTTTTGCGGTTGGTGAGGGTAGTGCTGGACCTTTTTTCTCTACAAATTATATCAGGATGATGTTTGTAAAATTTCAGGTTAGATGAGATAAGTGGGGATGACGATGAACAGAAGAAATCGTATTGATTTGAGAAATAGATTGAAGATTGTCTCCTGCAGCTAGATTGTCATTGCAAATTGTCTTATTTAAAATGTGACGCAAAGCAATAGAATT